CTGGCTCGGCCGCTTCTACTCCGAGCGTGTAGCCTCATGTAAGGATGCCGGCGGGTGGATTGTGGGCCCCGATATGCCCGGGACTTTGGTAATGCAGGGAGCATCTCTTTTTAAGAATACTTGAACGTCGATCTTTTACGTTGTCCCATTTGGGAATTTGGCTGCTTGTGTTCGGACAATTTCTTGAATTCGAAGACACAGGGCGAATGTTCCGCATCATCCTTTAAACCTTCCGGAGAGGAACTCCATTCACAACTATTCGACGAAGAACCCTTTGATTATGTAGCAAAAGCAAAACAATTCCGACCCTGATATCATTGAACAACCCAAACTCCCTCGTTTTGAAACTCATGGCATCTCCGATCTCTCATTTATGGCCGGCATCTCGTGGACTACCCTCGGATCATCGGGCAGCTCTGCGTGATAATGGCCTTGCGGATAGTATGGTGAATTTGGCGTTCTAGGTGTGCCACTTGGGCTTGGAACCACGGTACTCATGCTCATGTCGGACACCGGTCGCTGAATACCCATGCCGTCAGAGACAGTCGAAGGGGTGTTTGGCTGCATTAGGTTGCGCTTCTCGTCGGGGGGCGCAAGCTCGGCAGCACCGCCCCCAGGAGCAACATAAGGAGCAGCTGGAGCGGCGGCGGCGGCAGCGTCCTGTTGTTGCTTGGCCCGGCGGCGGCGCCACATGAAGAAGAAGCCGGCCAGAACCGCGACGACCCCCAAAGTCGACCCAACTGCAATACCTGCGATGGCCCCTCCACTCAAAGCTGCGGCTGCTTCTGGCTCGGCTGTCGGAGTAGACGTACTCGTTGCCGTGGATCCCATATCGGGCGCCGTCTGTGTACGCGTAACAGAAGTTTGTCCGGCGCCGCTGCTCTGCGGGCTTGGGTACGTAGGCTTCGGCTTGCCCGACGTGTTGACGGTCATGGGCACGCCGCCTGTGGAGTTGAGCGTCTCTCTAGCATACATCGCGAGTACTCTCGAGCCGAGGTCGGTGCAGAAGCCGAGCGGCGGCAGGTTTTGAATGGTATCTGGCCAGACGGTCTGGGTGACTTGAGGCTTATTGCTCTCCACAGGGCAGAAGTCGCCGCAGGTGTCGGGGTGGTTGCAAGCCCAGAACTTCTCGAAGCCTTCGTTGTGGGTGTCGTTGCATCTCACGAGGCCGACCCATGGCGACTTTCCTGTGCGAACGGTCAGCATGACGAAAGCTCTCAAGACGTCAGGAGGGCTTACCCATATCAAGGCCACCCTTCGGAGGGCAGTTGTTGTGCTCGTATGTCGGGTCATTGCAGCCATACTGGTATGTCACGCCGGTGGTGTTATCCCAGCAGGCCTGGGAGATGCAGTTGTCTCCGGCGAAGCAGCACCAGCTGGAGGCATAGTCCTTACCCTGAGACCTCGAGCCGTCATCGTTCTCGGTGAGGCAAGGAACGAGCGAGGGATGTGCGGGAGAGTCCTTGGCGTAGTAGCACTGGTTCCAGTCTTTCACTGGACTCTGCGCTACGATGAGCAGCGCCGAGGAGAGCAGAACGAGGGGGAGCATCGTGAAGCTCGGTCGTGAGCGTGGTGTAGTGGGTATCGTGTGGAGCAGAAAGGACCGTGTCGAGAAACACGTGGAGGCGAGAAATTTGCGGACCCTGTCGCCTTCAGGAAACGAAATTAATTGACCATGCGTCGGGGTCAGCGTGGTGGTGTCTCCTGGGGAATAAACAAACTAGCGGCCGTTGACGATGAAGGAAGAACGAAAGTCGAGACGAGAGATGCTGGTGAATGGGTCGAGGTCAAGTCGAGGCGGTCGCGGCCGGTTCGAAGCAAAAAGGGAAGGAAAGAAGGAAGACACGGCACCTGCCCTTGAGAACAGACCCAGCGGCAGATCATTTCATTTTCCCTGCAACAATTTTCCAATAAAAGTCCCCCTGCCTCTGTCCCCTCTCACTTGCCTCTCATTCTCAGCCCGTCAGCCCATCTGTCAATCTTTGCTTTTTCTCCGTCATGTTCCACGACCAACAGCACCGCAGCACCAACAAGCTGAACTACAGCCAAGCGTGTAAGCACGAGCAAACATTTCACAGCCCCCAACGGCCAAGCCGTAGCCTGCTCCCGAAGTGACACATAGGCTAGCCAACCAACAAGCTGCGACGACAGGATCTGCGGAGAACTGCACACGAGCTGTGTTCCCCGTCCGTGCCGGGGGTTTCTGATAGGCCCGCTGTCGGGGTTCAACCCCGACGCTTACAACGCGGGTGCAGACATGAGAGACACAGAGAACGATGCCAGATTGGACGAAAACCAACTTGAGTTGAGCAGGGGTAGGGGGATTGAGCGGCCGCCCCAAGGGCTATGACTGCCTATCTGATCAACATAAAGTAAGCCGCCATCATGCACTCGTTGACCTCTCATCGCGAAATATTGGGTTGAATGGCTGGCCTCTCGGGACCTTTTATCTCGGAACCTGTTATCTCGTCAGGTCGTATACAAGCCACGTTTATTTAATGCTCGATTATTATTGCCGACAGTGGCAAGGAGCACAAATCAAAAGACGGTATCCTCGGCTTAGGTAGCTGAGAACTACCCGTGTCACTATACATCAGGTGACGTCTTTATATGGATATTCCAGGGCATTTTTCAAAGCCTGGGCACCTAGGTTGGTTGGACCGGCCGCATAACTCTGACCAGAATCTTGGGTCTGGCGGGTCAGCCCCATTAACGCGACCACATGGTCTTCCATCAGTGGATAATTCTTGTCCTGACTCAGGATCTGCAATTTTTATCACCACCAAAAAGATAGCAATCTTAACTCGGGCCCTTGGTGGAAGGGGCACTCCAGCAGGGCCGTTTCCGACCAACATGCTGAAAGGAGTCGCACTTCCCAGGAGCGGTAGCCAACGTCCATCGCGCCTCTCGCTACCTCGTGACAGTATCAAAGCAGCTGGAGCCTTTGAGTATGATCACTGAAGGATAGTGAGAGAACTGTTGAAGACGTGATCAACGCCGTGGACATGCCGGATTTGGAGAGTGGGAATATTGAGGCTTTGCCGTCGTGACCCGGTCGAGCCTGCAAAAAAGGTCGCGCCTGCCGTCTCGACTCTGCTTCCGACTTTGCCGCTACTTCGCGTCACCACCCGTCAACGCGTAACACCGTCTATTTAAGTTATGTCAAATGTTTCTTTTTGCCAACGAGCTCAACCCTCTCGGGCATCTTTAACTTGCTACGGCTTTAAAGGCAACAGGAATGGATGAAGAAACAGATGGCTTGCCTCGCCGTCCAGAGCGCCATGAACAGCGGAAATACAGTTGAAGTCTGAACAACTGTAAGACGTGCAACGGACATAGAGATGCTTCTGAACTCAGTCGGGCCCTCGATTCGAAAGAGAATTGAGGCTATTTGCGCGACGGTCACTAGGTAAAGCCGTCACTCCGCTCCTGGGCTTCGCTTGTCTGTCGTCATTGAATTGATGTGAATATCAGATGAGGACGGGGCCACGGGCATTGGTAATTCCTATGTTAGGGGAGTCGTCGCTACCTGGTTGATATAGACCACAGGAACCGTCCGCCAAGATGGCTCGGATGTAAAACCAAGTACGGTGGTCGAGGTGGATGTCTACCGCAACGAAAGGGCCGTGGGTTGAGCATACTCTCGACAGAGACCACGTTACTCCACTATTGGCATCGAAGTTTGACGGAGCTTCAACTTAGTCCGTCCGTAGAAATCTTGAATCGCCTGCGTCGATATTGTTTCAGCACCTGCAGGCAGAGAAGCAAGAGAGAATTCATCCCTCTGCTTTGGTCTTACGGACTGTTCTATTGGGGCTTTCGGTTGTGTCCCCCCTGCAAACTTCTTTTCGGGCCCGTCTTAGGAGTGCTCCTTCTCGGCGTCTCTTTGGCTGCAGATGTCTCTGGTTGTCTTTCGCCTGGATTCACTGCAGTCGTATACTTAATGGAGGTTAGCCAGGTAGTCTCTGCATAGGTTGGTGCTAACATCATTTTATTCTGGGATGTTTCTTTTCCGTGACATGCCCTACGGCTCTGAATATGCAACCTTCTATTGAGAAACTTCACTATGCCCGATTTTCAACCTATACAACCCGCTCTTATGACTTAGGTGGCGATGCCGTGGAGGTCATCAAGATCGAAGATGAAGAGCGCAGCCTTCTCAGGTTCCTTCAGCGTGGGATCAACAACGCAATCGACACAGAAAGTGGACATGTGCTAACCGAGACATCCCCACCGCAGTTACAACACGAGTGGAAGCATGACATATTGGGTCAAGACGTCATATAATTCATGTCCCACCTGGAAGACTTGTTTCGGTTAAGTGCTGCCAGCGCTGTTAGGAAAATGGTATTGCGGCTGCTTGGTAGCACACGTGAGGTCAGGCATAGATCTGGCCGTTCTACTGAAACCTACGTCGTGGTAGGTCTTCTAGAATACATCACTAGCCGTTCTATTGAGGCTCTCTGCGACAAAGAGCAAGGTGGGTAGGTCAGTAATAAGGAACTCGTAGCTTAAGTAATCTCGAACAAAACTCGGCAAAACACAGTTTTGGAATATCGAGGGAGGTTCTGTGAGACGAATTGGGAAAGAGCGCCTGAGGTCAGTTGGGTTGCGACTTCCCGTTGCTGCTTCTATCGATCGCTTCGCGTCGCTTCGGCTATTTAGCCACCACCTCCTACATCACCCTCAACTCTTACTTTCTCCCACCACCAAAACATCTTGTACCGTGAAAATCCTTTCACCTCCAAACTGCTCCCACACCCGGGTTTTTCTCACTCTCTGAGTTCTCCCACCTCCTCCATCAGTCTCACCTCCAACCCTCTTCCACTTCCTATCCTCTGCCACCACAAACTCCTCTCCTCCCAAACTTTTCTCACCTGCCACCTTCTTCGACTGTCAATTTTTTCCGCCTCTTAACTTCCAACTTTCCCTCGCAATCAAAATTCGATCGTCCCCAATTCCTTCCCACTTCATTTTGGGAAAGCCCCAGGCCCTCGAAAATGGAGGCCTTGCCGGTGGAGACGATCGTGGAGATCATGCGACAGTGCGACAGTATCGGCGACCTTCTCGCACTTGCTTCTACATGTGAACGCTTTCAATCGACTTTCGACAAGTTCTCTCCTAGCATTCTTTAGCATCTCAAGGCTCCTGGCATCCCAGACTTTGATGACGCTCTCGTAGTGGTAAGACACCACAACCATTTTCTCCAGTTGCAAAGAACCAATCTAACAAAGTTCTTTTCAAACAGGTCAGAGCAACCGCTATCGTCAAAGACTCCTACGCCAAGGGAGTGCTGCCACCCAGGCCCTTTCCCTTTGACCAGCTCGCGCACGGAAAGTCACCAGCAACGCTGGTTGAGTACCAGAAAGTCACCAACCTCATTGAGTTTCTCAAGTTGATCGAGGCTGAGTTCGCTCATCTCTGGCGGAAGTACCTGCCATACATCAAAGATGACCTTGATGACCTCCGGCGCTCTTGGAAGGGCGCGTTGAATGACAGCATGCTCAAAGCCCTACTCATGAATGCTGCCCTGGCTGGGGAGATGGCGGAGCCTTTTTGGAACGCCGGCCAAAAACTCAGCGATCCTTCCGACACTGGTGCCAAGATCCTGCAATCAATTCAGGACCCTGGAAGCCGTCATCTGGGAGGCAGTTGGCAGCGCGACGAGTCTGGCATGACTTGGGTCACACGTGACCACTACGCGGAAGTCAAGGATTGGCTCAACGACAAAGACATTCAGTATCTCGAGACATACACCGCCTACAGAAATGACAGATACACGGGTCTCAGCAAGGATCTCAGCAACACAACCTTCGGCAAGCTAGCAAAGCACTTCAGGCTCGAGAACAAGTCCGCCGACTGTTTTCTTCCTCGAGTGTTTCAGACGACCTTGAGGGACATTCAGGACTATGCCTTTTTCGAGCATCCCGAAGATCAAGAGAACCTTCCGTACTTCCAATCAAGATTCAACAGCGATTCTCCAATCAAGATTCAACAGCGATTCTCCGATCAAGCAGATGGTCGTTGCGATTCTCCACCTCGGTCCATTGCTGCCAGGAAAGCTCACTCGCCTCAGTCCCGAAGCCCATGCCGGAAGAAGAACCGTCGACTTTGTCCCATTCGGATGCTTCAACGTCCACACTTACGCATTCGACGCCGTTGAGGGAGACTATTGGGAGCCTGAGTTCTTCTGGGGACAGGTTGGTGGCATTAGTCTGCTGAAGGCTCACAAGCCCCACGGCGTTGACTCGGGAGGAAAGTTCGCGGACCTTACCGACATTCTGAGCTTCTATCGGGGAGATTTGGATTACATATTCGAGAAGAATGATGAAAAGTACAATTGCGGGTATGATCGTCGTTGTCAAGCCGAGGCCGACTGGGACACCCGATGGAACAGGATCAGGTGCGACGGAGACATGGATTGGTAGGGTGTGGAACAAGGTCACCGGAAAATAGCTTAAACACAGGATGGCATACAAGATTATCGATAGCTTCAATACACGTTGGTCTGCAGGACGTACATGTCACGTTGTGTCACGGATGGTCCACGTGATGTTCAATCTTCAATTCTATTTCGTATGAGACGATCGAGGTAGCGACTGACAATTCCATGTTTTCCAAACCCATCCAACCAACACCTTGCAAGTAATAACACTGGCGCTACAGATAATTACCCATCAAATCTTTCTCTACCGTCTATCGTTTTACATCGGTGGCTCAACCTTCATTGTCGGTGAGTTCCGTGATTCGCATCGTCTGGGCCTCCGGCAAGGCCTGGGGAATAAGTTGTTTCGCAAGCGGAGGTGGATCTTTTTGAAGTGCTCCCTCTGCAAAATCGTTAGTGAACCGTCCTTCAATTTTCTCAGCAGAATTGCTTACCATATTGTCTTTGCGACTGAATATTCGACCGCAATCAGGGTGCGGGCACTTGATCGTAGGCTGGTGCGAGCCCATGTGGCGTTGGTAGTCTTTCCTCGTTGAAAAGCCAACGCCGGCTTTCGCGCAGGGCTTCTCCGTGCAGAAGAAGCACTTATCGTGGCCTCGGTAGTGCTTCCTCAAGTCGCACGCGCGGATGAATACCCTCGTGGACCGGCAACCTTGGAACTTGCATCGCCAGCTTCCATTCGCGTCGAGGTATCCCATGTGGCGTAGGTCTTCTGGTTCCCAAGTCTCCTCCTCGCGCTCTTCTGCTGGGCTGGATGAACCCTCACTCGTACTCCATACGTCCCAGCTGGGGGGTTGGCCGGCCATAATGTTGGCTGGCGTGGGAGACGTGATCACCCGTGTGTTGGAGTTGGAGGCCTGAACCAGATGGCTGGGCCCGTACTGTGGTATGGTGCCGGAGGTGGTATCCAGGTACGGCAAGGGCTGGTAGAGGCATACAGGATCTGGATGCAACGTGGATTGAAACCATTCTCCGTTGAACGGAGGTGCTGGCCCGAGGCTGAAGGGGTAGGGCGCCGGTCGCGCCTCGACTTGTGGGAAGTATTCGCCTCCATTGACGGAGTTTCGCTCAGTCTCAAATGGTGGTTCCATCTTGTTTGACAGAATTCTTCGAGCATGCGAATCAACGGCAAAAACAAGCTTGAAAGAAGGAAAGAGATCAGCAGAGGTTGTCCTGTTTGTGGAACGGGGGAATAGCAAGATGTGGCAGAATGCTCCGAGTTAAAGACGAAACCAACCCGTAGAAAACCATAGATTTCCAACCCGTCGATATATATCTGGGCATCATAAACTCTATTCTCGTAACCTGGGCCAATAGCGAAGCGGCGGTATAGCAGTTTGGGGTGCCGTTTCACCAGTACGTACTCACTGTTGTTGGCCGAAATTCCACAGCTTCGAGAACTTGGCTTCACTCCGCCTGGGCCCTTTCATCGCCGAATGAACGGGCCATGTGGCGGCTGGTAATCGGCAGCCGCTGTGGTCGGCATTCGATTCAGCTGAGAGTCGCCTTACGAGCTGGTCGCGATCTTCCGCCGGGGCTCCCGGTCCGGAAACCCCACCATGAAGATTGCGCTGGGATCCCCGGCGACCTGGTTTGACGTGATGCGCGTGCAACACTGCAGTTGGAATATGCCAGTGTCAGGGGCTGGGCAGAGTGCTGGCATCATAATCCCTGCTTCATTGCCCGCCTTCAACGATGTTGGGACTTATTCGGCGAGAGCGTGAATGGTGCGTGGAACTGCTCGGTAACCAAAGCCGTCCACTGCGATAGGTTTGCGCGAATTCTGATCATCTTGTGGTCGAGTTGAAAATCCCGCTGTCGCATTCAATCTATCAGGCATCCGTTTTCGAACAGTATGCTTATTTTATCAAGTGTAAGTGCTGTCCGTGCCCGCCGACGGCGATCATGCCGCGACTCGACAATCAACTGTTCTAAGTCCCGCACCTGATATCCTTATTAAAGAATTAATTGCAATATAAACTCAAAGATATTCGACCGAATTTTCAGCCGGCCTCACCCGCGGCAGTTTGGGTGTCCCTCTTTGCGTCTACTGCGTCTAGGTCGGCATTGAGAATTCTACACGCTCGAATACATGAGACTAAACTGACATAGACGTGTAAAAGCGTTGACTCCTGCATGTTTTGATAATGTACTTACAACTTGAGATACAAATCATTCTTGAGAGTCCTGGCAATACACCTTCATTTCTGTGATCGGTTATACATGAGCCTTGAGGGGTTTAAGCATTCACGGATCCTTGCGGATGTATGATTGAATATTCGAGGTCGTAGATCAAAGGTGGGGCTACTACTACTGTTTATGATGGCAAAAATCCCCGACAAAGGCAAACGAGTTTTTCAGTTGCCTATGATTCAATCCAAGAGGGTCAACCTATCCCGGCTTATTCCTAGCGAGAGTTGGGAGCGTCACATTGTTTTCATCCATTCCCTGATGGAAATCCCTCTTTCTGATTCATCCTACCCGTTAGAACCTTGTCAGGTCTCCAAATGCAGCTTGCTGACTTGAATTTCTCCTATCTTTTCAGATTGAAGACGAAACAGTACGTGAACGACCTAGCTGATGGAACCTCAAAAAAGACTCAATTTCAGAGTTCGCCCACAACCCCACAGTTTGGGAACGGGGTCTGCGATCAGTGTGGCACGGCGCTGCCGTGGTTGGTAAGAGGTCTCGGCAGTTGTGGTCCTCGTCCGATATCCGGCAACGACGGCCTCACGAATCCGGGTCCCGGGGGGCCTATGGGTCCGGGCGTCCCCTCAGAAAGTAATAACGGCCTTCTCCGTCAATACTACGCGACCGGTTGGCAATGCGACTGGCTCCTGGAGTCCTGAAAGCTGTCAAACCCCTCCCATTGATTGACCGGGGTCCCTGTCGAAATCGGTTAGCCAAAGTTTCGAGTCGTCTAGCGCGTGGCGAGATTCGCCAAACTCGTGATCTTAGTATATAAACCTGGGCAGTTATTTCCCATCGATTTCCGTTCAGAGAAAAATGCCGCGCACTCGGTCCTGAATTAGGTATCACTCGTGTCAGTCAAAAAGCTCTGGTCACTGTGCGTGAGCCTGGCCCGGCTGACGGACGTTTTGGAAACTCCCGGCAACTATGGTCGACGCGTACGTACTTGAACGAAACACATCAAAGAAATATGAGCGCACCAGCGTGAACTAGAACAGAAAACAACATTGTCAAATGGTCTTTTGTGTCTATGTTTCCGGTATGAAATGTCGGTGATGGAATTGAGTTCAATCATCCCGACACCCGTTGAAAACGAGAGGTACGGTTCGTACGAGGCTTTCACGAAAGACACTACGGCATGGCAACTTCAAAGAAAGGGGTCGCAAACTTTTGAGACCATGCTCCTTGGTCAAGCACGCTAGGTGGGAAGGTTTGAACCAATTCAGACAACTCATGCGATACAAGGCACGGCAGTTCTCAAGTGATCCAGCCCGCCTTCAGCTGGGTTTACTTCTGCATATTATGCTTCTATTATCCGCCTTGGCAGCCATGATTCCAATTCACCGGCATCTCTATCATCGTACATCCAACATACGTGACGTGTGATTTCGTCGTATGTTGAGTTTATAGACGTCTCTCACAAGCTCAGATTGGGTACCCTGAACAATCCGATTCCAAGGAATGGAGTGCGCACATCATACAAATGAAGAACATACACGTTCAAGCTCATGATGTTAGAACTTGGATAAGAGAGAGTTACATGAGGCAGGATAGCATTCCCGAGTCTGATAAACATAACCAAGGTGAAAGATGAAAGCCGAAGCCTCTCTCTGTGATCGCCCGGACGTGGCCAAGTGCACAATGTAGTTAATGATCTTTGACAAATATAGAATGAAAAAAGGGTGCATAGAAAGCAAGAAGTCCCAGAAGAATTGCACGGGAGCAATACGTAATCTTGTTCTACCTCCACAGAGCACTGTCCATAGACACCAAAATACCATACACCATCCTGAATAGGTGACAGCTGTCAGGATAGCATCCGAGATCATGATACACTCATCGAAGTTTCAAGACAAGCATTAACCTAGTACGGTAATAGAAACGAAAACTATGATGTGTGGTGAGGTATCTGGGTGAGAATATGAGGCCTTGTTGGTGAACCTCAAACAAGACCAGATTCATGGGACGCCGCATTCAACGAAGGTCGGACTTCTCCTGTAATGATTCTCACAGGCTCGTTCAAGTGAGGAGAGAAAAACAAAGTATGCAGCTACTTAAGGTATCAAACAAGGGGGAAACCTATTCGAAAGAACATCGTCACCTTGACTCAATTTACTTATCGATCAGGCGCGATAAACAACTAAGGTGGCCTACGAGTGACCGGAATTACCAAGTACCAGCTGAATATGTCTTCTCATAGCAGACACATGCTCGCCATATCACCTGAAAAAGGCCACGCCTCCGTCAACAACCGTACAATCTCTGATATGTAAGCTAGCCAGAGTCTCTCCCTGCCAGACATCTGTCCAGGTTGGCAACATCTTCAGGATCCTGTGACCCGCTTAGATCAGCTGCCACGGTGCGTACCTGGAAGTGCTGACAACAAGCTCCAGAACGCTTAGACGTATTACTGCTTTAACCATTCTGCTTGAATGAAGCAGCTTCGGTGAGCCCCTTTAATTTGTAAGGCTAATGCCAATAGTCGACCACATATCAGTGCGAATCATCCTGGCGCAATATTCAACAGCTACAACGGCTTGGCCATACCTCCTGCAGCGGCTTGTGCAAGACCTCAGACGGCCCATTTGCTGATAGAATACGCCGGTGCAAATGAATACCTTGCACCTATCAGCTTTGTCTCTACTGTTCAGAGCAAGACAATTTAGCCTTGGGATGGCATAAGATCCGATCAACTTCATACCTCGGCTCTGCTGAATCATGACCTGAACTGCATATTTGTGACCGAAGACTGCCCGAGGCATTTAGTTCTAGTCATTTTTTAATGATGTATTATGAAATCCGAGCAGGAGGAACTAACAGCATAGATGTTGTTCCATATGTCCTTGCTAATCTCGAGGATTGGGCTCTTTGTAATCAATCCAGCATTCGCCACCGTCTCATTCGCAATCATTCATATTTCCCCATTGTGGATTAGTAGCCATTTTCATCACAAGTGGTCAGATGTAGCACATACATTTTCTGTTAGAATATTGTCATCTTGGCATGAGCGGTCGGTTCCGTAGGCCGATCTCCAATCAGGCCGGCGGGATACCGTATGCCGAGTACCGAGTGCCGGATACCCACTGCTGGAACAGGACAAGGAGCGATGTGGACCAAGATTATCTTGCAGAAGGAACGCCGCAGAGGATGTATTACTGGGCTGTAAGGAGAACAGTAGATTACTGTCCATGCTTTTCCTTCGTCTGTTGCAGCCTCGATACTTGCGACATTAGGTATTCTTGTCGTGGGAATCAGCCAAAATGCCTCTATCAAACTTTCACGTACCACCGTCCACCTCGACCGTCAATGTCCGAGTCATTGACTCGACATCCCAAGTTGGCTGTAGCATCGAAGGCATGGTGTCGCATACCATCAAAGGTCACACCTGGCTTCAATGTCCCGCCTATGTCTTTCTGGTGGAACACCCGTCTTCGGGTCGCAAACTTCTGTTCGATCTCGGAGTACGAAAGGACTTCGAAAACCTAGCCCCGCCCATTCAGAAATGGTTCAAAGAGAGCGGCACGACCTGCAGCGTCGACAAAGACGTTAGAGATATCCTCGAAGAAGGTGGGGTTCAACTGGACGACATCGAAGGCATTATCTGGAGCCATTGGCACTGGGACCACATCGGAGACCCAAGCAGATTTCCGAAAAGCACTGCCTTGATAGTAGGACCGGGCTTCAAGAAGGTCCTAACACCGGGCTACCCTACCAACCCGGGCGCACCTCTCTTGGACTCCGACTTTGCCGGGCGCGAACTTCGTGAACTAAGCTTCGCCGAATCCGCCATCAGAGTCGGCTCATTCCCCGCCATTGACTATTTTGGCGACGGAAGCTTCTACATCCTAGACGCGCCAGGCCACACCGTTGGTCATGTCAATGCTCTTGCGCGGGTGACGAC